CCCTGCCGAGCAGGGAGCCCGATGCGGGACTCGATCCTGGGACTCCAGGATCATGACCTGAGCCGAAGGCAGTTGCTTAACCAACTGAGCCACCCAGGTGCCCGATTTAGAAGCCTTTAATAAGAAAGTTCAGGTGTACCTGGGTGGCTCAGTTGGTTAAGCGACTGCCTTCGGCTCAGGTCATGATCCTGGAGTCCCAGGATGAATTCCGTCATCGGACTCCCTGAGCAGGGAGTCCGCTTCTCCCTCTGACCCTCCCCCCTCTCATATGCTCTCTCTCAAATAAATAAAATCTTTATAAAAGAGTAAGAGAGAAAGTTCTGTAGGTGCTGTAGGCATTGCATTGGCATCTCAATGCAGATCCTTGAAGGGAAACTCTGGCTGTATGTAGGTCAATAATATAGTAAAAGTCTCTAAAATAGTTCAATAGATAAAACAAATCAAAATAGTCAATGATTTTGCCAAGTTATTATAATACTCCAAGAGATTTCTTGAATCCCCATTGATTTCTTCTCTTGGATCCTTCCTCTACCTGGATTTTTATTATCTGGCCCCACATTATCTTTCATAAAGCTTTCATAATAATTATTGACCTAATTATTGTAGGTCAACTTTGCAAATGTGCCCTCTCAAATGCCAGTTTATCTACAGGGATACCTGGAGGTTGCCATGCTAATCCAAATGTCAGGAGTGAATTGTGAAGACCATAGGAAAGAAACTTGGACATGTGATTTAGTGTCAGCAACTTATAAGCTTCATCTCCTGCCCATGTCCACTGCCTCCTTCACAATTCTGGTAAGTTTCACCTACTACTCCCAAAGTGCAACCTCCCACCATTTTTTAAACTTGTTCAGGGAGGACTTCCACTGTATAAAATACCTGAACATTGACCATTCTTTCTGTTCTGGGCCTTCTCCTGGACAGCTATCCCCTCTACCTTTGATCATCCCAAACGACTACCATCATGAGTTTTGCCACCCAAACCTAACGTTGGTGGGGGTGCTTCCTTACATCACAGTGAAGTTGCTGTAACATGTACATCAATTGGCAAGGAAAAATAAAGCTTTTTGCAGATGACATGATTATCTACACAGAAAATCCCAAGGAATCTATACAGAATGGCAACTTTAACTAATATGCAAGTTTGGCAAAATTATAAGACACATAGAACAATCAACTGCATTTTTATATACTAGCAATAAACAATTGGAAATTGAAATTTGAAAATAGTACCATTTAATTTAGCACCAAAAAACACAGAGTACTTAGGTATAAATCTAATAAAATATGTGCAGAATCTATGTGCTGAAAACTACAAATTACTGATTAAAGAAATTAGAGGGGTCCTAAACAAATAGGCAGATATTCTGTGTCTGTGGCTTAGAATATTCAAGATTGCTAAGATGCTAAGTCTACCTAAAGTCATCTGTATATATTCAATGCAATCCCAACAAAATTTCCAGCAATGAGTTTATTTTTAAAAATCACAAAAAACTTATTCTAAAAATTATGTAAAAGTAAACTAATTAAAATAGCCAAAATATTTTGAAAAAGAAGAATGGAGGGGTGCCTGGGTAGATCAGTCGTTAGGCATCTGCCTTTGGCTCAGGTCATGATCCCAGGGTCCTGGGATCCAGCCCCACATCAGGCTCCCTGCTCAGCGGGAAGCCTGCTTCTCCCTTCCCACTCCCCCTGCTTGTGTTCCCTCTCTCACTGTGTATCTCTCAAATAAATAAATAAATAAATAAAATGTTTAAAAAAGAAAAAAGAAAAAGAATGGAGTTGGAAGACTCATACTATCTCATTTCAAGACTTATTATATAAGGCTACATATTGGCAAAATGACAGACACATAGACTGATGGAACCAAGGAGAGGCCAGAAATAGACCCACGCATGTCTGATCAATAGATTTTCCATAAGGGCGAACAGAAATTAAAAGGATAGTTAATCAGATGTTCACAGGCCAAAAAACATGGCCCTTGACCTCACACTTTATAAAGATGAACTCACATGGATCATAGACCTAAATGTAAAACCATTTCATAAAACTTTTAGATAAAAAAGGAGGAGAAAAATCTTTGTGACCTAGGATTGGGCAGAGTTCTTAGATTTGAAACCAAAAGCACAATCCATGTAAGAAGAAAACTGAACTTCATCAAAAACAAAATTTCTGCTCTGTGAAAAATACTGATAACAGAATAAAAACACAAAACACACAGAGATAAAATATTTGCAAAACATGTAACTGACAAAGGACATATGTCCAGAACACATAAACTCTCAAAAATCAAGAACAAGAAAACAGTTCCCCAAAGAAAATAGATATACATACAGGATACATTCAGATATAAAAGATGCCCAACATAGTCATTAGGGAAATGCAAATTAAAATCAAAGTGAGATGCCACTATAAACCTACTGAAATGGTAAAAACAAAACAAAACCCTGACATGCATTGATGGTGGGAATGCAAACTGGTATATCCATTTTAGAGTTGTTAGCTTTCCATACAGTTAAACATACTATACAATTCCACTCTTAAGTATTTACTAACACAAAGAAAACGTGTTGACACACAGACCTCTTTGCAAATATTTATCCCTGTTTCCTTCATAATCACTAACAACTGGAAACTCAAATATCCTTGAATTCATAAATGGATAAACCAAACATGATACATCCATACACCAGAATACCACTCAGCAATAGAAGGAATGACTACTGTTCCACACATCAGGATTGATGAATCTCAGAAGCATAAAGTGAAAGAAGCCAGACTTGAAAGATTATATACTGTATGACTCCATTTTAGGACATTCCAGAAAAAGTAAACTATGCAGACAGAAAACAGGTAGATGGCTGCCAAAGGCAGGGAGAGGTGACAGGGAGAGTGGTTGACTACAAAAGTCCGAGGAATTTCAGGGCAGGGGGTCTTGGAAGTGTTAAACGTCTTGATTACGGTGGTGGTAATACAATAGAAAGCATTTACCAAAACACAGAATGATACATCAAAGAGTCGATTTTACTGTATACAAACTATTCCTTAATAATAATTTTACAAAGAATGTTAGCTTATAGAATTTTCATAGATGCCTTTCATCTCACTGAGGAATTTTTATCACGAATGGACACTGAATTTTGTCAATCTTACTTTCTCTCAATCTACTAAAATGATCATAATTTGATCAAGAGAATCCAGACATAAAAGAGTACACACATTGAACCAAAGAACAGACTTAACTGTGAGGTATAGCAATCATACTTGTTGCCACTGGAGGTGGGAATGACGAGAAATGTACACAAGGAAACATTCTGGTTTAATAGAAATATTGTATACATTGATTTTGGTGATGATTACATAAGTGTATACATTTGTCAAAATTCATAAAGCTGTAAACTTGAGATTTATGCATGTTGCTGCATGCAAATTATACCTCAATAAACTATTTGCATACAAAAATGCTGGTCACAACCCACTGAAGTGATTTTGGACCTACTGGCAGGTTGATAAACACTAGTTCACAGGACCTGCAGGGTTGGGAAAATGAGCCCATGTGTCTTAACTTGAATGTCCTCCAAGCCTTACAGAATTCCTCTTCTAAGTACATTTCACAGAAATTTTTAGAGAAGAACTGAATAAAAATTTCATATATGACTGTTCTCCCTTTCACTCATTTAACATTACTGAACACCTACCATGTGTGAGGCACTGAGAAGACTGAATAGATTTGGCAGTCAACAAATCCCTACTCTCTTGGAGTTTATATTCTAGTGGAAGAGATTCTGGCACTTCCATCTCAGCCCTTCGGTTAACTTCAGATCAGATTCATCCTTCCTAAGCCTCTCCTCTGTGTAGTATTTGCTAAATGTCAAGGTTCTGAATGAAGTCCTTATGTCCCCATTCTCATGAGGCTTCTCTGCTGTGTGGTCACCCAACCACTGTGACATGTCAAGCCCTGGCTAAATACTCTTTTATAAATAAATGCTTTGTCTTCTAGGAAAGGTCTGATTATTAGACTATTTCAGCACCCATTTGAGGTATTAAAACATATAATTTTATGGAGCTTCTTTCTTGTGTGAATTCTCCGGGGAGGGCAAGTCCTTATCACCCTCATCATCAGCATGCACTCGCTGATGAATTATAAGACTTGAGCTCCAACTGAAGCCCTTCCCACACTCCTCACATTTATATGGTTTTTCTCCAGTGTGAACTCTCTGATGGGCTTGAAGGTATGAGCTCCAACTGAAGACCTTACCACACTCCTCACATTTGTACGGTTTCTCTCCGGTGTGGACCCTCTGGTGGGCTTGAAGATAGGATCTCTGTCTGAAGCGTTTACCACACACATCACACCGGTATGGCTTCTCTCCTGTGTGGACTCCACGATGAGCCAGAAAATTTGACGCCCGACAGAATCCTTTCCCACACTCCTCACATTGATATGGTTTCTCCCCAGTATGGCACCTCTGGTGGGCTTGAAGCTGTGAACCCACACTGAAGCCCTTCCCACACTCTGCACACTGATATGGTTTCTCTCCCGTGTGGACTCTTTGATGCACCTGAAGACTCGAGAACTGGCTGAAGGCCTTACCACACTTCTCGCATTTATAGGGTTTCTCTCCGGTGTGGATTCTACAATGAACATTAAGATCTGAACTCCGGCTGAAGCCCTTCCCACATGTACCACATTTGTATGGTTTTTCTCCAGTGTGGCCTCTTTGATGGGCCAGAAGATTTGAGGCCTGACTGAAGCCTTTCCCACATTCCTCACATTTATAGGGTTTCTCTCCTGTATGGACTCTGAAATGAATGTTAAAATCTGAGCTACGACTGAAGCCCTTTCCACATGCATCACACTGATATGGTTTCTCTCCAGTGTGGCCTCTCTGATGGTCCAGAAGATTTGAGGCCCGACAGAAGCCCTTCCCACATTCCTCACATTTGTAAGGTTTCTCTCCAGTGTGGCTTACCTGATGGGCCTGAAGGTGTGAACCTACACTGAAGCCTTTCCCACACTCTTCACATTTATAGGGTTTCTCTCCTGTATGGATTCTACAATGAATGTTAAGGTGCGAGCTGTAACTAAAGCCCTTGCCACATGCCTCACATTTGTATGGTTTCTCTCCAGTGTGGATTCGCTGATGAGCCTGTAGTCGCGAACGCCAACTGAAGCCCTTCCCACACTCTTCACATCTATAAGGTTTCTTTCCCATGTGGACTCTCTGGTGCACTTGAAGATACGAGCTCTGACTGAAGCTCAGGCCACACTCCTCACATTTATAAGGTTTCTCTAATGTGTGGACTATCAGAGGAGCTTGACAATGTGAGCTTTTCCCAACATTCCTCCCACATTCCTCGAATTTGTGTGGATTCTCTCCAGGGGGAACTCTCTGATGATGGCGAAGATATGACCTCTGTCTGAAACCCTTACATGACGTATCATACTTGTATGATTTCTCTCTGCCATGGACCCTCTGATGGGCTTGAAGGCTTGACAGTCGACGGAAGGTGTTTTCACATTTTTCACATTTATAGGGCTTCTCTCCTACATGAGCTGTCTGGTTAGTTTGAAGATGACAGCGCTGAATGAAACCTTTCTCACGCTCCTCCCCCTGGTTGGGTTTTCCTCCCGTGTGGTCTCTGTGGTGAACCTGAAGATGTGAACTCTGAGTAAAGCCTTTACCAAACTCTTCATCTTTATAGAGTGCATCACCTCGTTTTTCCAACTGGGAGCCAGTTCCTTGAATATTGACCATGGAATCTTGGCACTGGGTTAACTCCTTTGTAACCTGTTGCCAGATTTGCGAGCAGAACAGCTCTTCATGTGGGAGGTATTTTAATCCAATTTCCTGAAGAGTCTCCAGGTCATTTAGATTCTTGTCTCCTATAAGAATAAAGAGAATTTAGAGATGAGGCATATAAACACTTTGTTCGGAGATGTCAAGGCTATAAACCTAGGTCCGTTTAGAATCATACTAAGTTTTAGGGGCGCCTGGGTGGCTCAGTCATTACACGTCTGCCTTCTGCTCAGGTCATGATCCCAGGGTCCTGGGATCGAGCCCCGCATCGGGCTCCCTGCTCTGCAGGAAGCCTGCTTCTCCCTCTCCCACTCCCCCTGCTTGTGTTCCCTCTCTCGCTGTGTCTCTGTCAATTAAATAAATAAAATAAAATAGAATAAAAAAGAATCATACTAAGTTTTACACGTGAGAAACAGGTTAGAAATTTGGTGGCTGTAGATCAAGAAAAATAGTTCCTAGGGAGGCTTTACAAAGATGAAGCTGCACCTTACTAAAAGCCTTGTTTTTGCTATAGCATATGTCTGATAAATAGTTTCCACATAATTCTGCCTATTGCACACACATCTGACCAAAGGCTCAACATGTCTAGTAAGACCCTTATAGACAGATTATCAAAAGATGTCCTCAGGCAATGTTGAAAACCTTTGTTTGAAATTATTTCACTGGAAGTTTATTCCATGTTATAAGCCCTGAAGCACTGGGTCGGTTGGAAAGACATGTTTGGGAGAACCTATCAAGTAAGTGCCTAAAGTTCAGGGTATAAGCAGAGAGTGGTCTTTCGCCTCCTGCTGGGAAATATTCTTCAGGACGGCAATGGGGGAAGAGGTTTACAGTACCACACATCATATCAAAAACTCATAGCAATAAAGTTCCTATATCCTCCAGGGGGAAAAAAAAAGAGTGACAAATCAGAAGCTAATCTTTTATACCAAAGCAAGAACTTGTGAGGAGGAAATGAACGGGGCATGGTACAGATTCTCAAAGTCAATACTGGTCAGGAAGAGTTACGTTCTCCTTGGAACTCTGTTCCACAGCTTGCTACCTACTTCTTTTCAGACCCCTCTTCAAAAAAAACCTTATCAGTGAGACCTCTTTTCCCATCCAATATCCAGCAGTAAATTCTCCCTAACCCTCGACACTCCTGGCCATCTGCCTGGCATTCGCCTTACCCTGTTTTGTTTTCACACAGCACGTATTACATCTAACAAACTATATATGTTTATGTCATTTATCTTTTTGTTTTATGTCTTCTCCTACCTGAATGCAGTATCCACAAGGCCAAGCATTTATATCATTCACTGCTTTATCACCGCTCCCAGAACACTGTGTGACAGTGTCCAATAAATACATGTTGAAAGGATAAGTAAGTCCCCGTTTGACTTCCTTGTGAGAGTTTAAACTATGTTACAAGAGTAAAAGAGCTTTTCCAAGTAAGTTACCTAGAATAGGTAAGGGACTGGAAACAGCAATTTTGCTGGGAAGTTGAAAGGCTTCACCAGATGTTGGGCTAACCTAAGTGGATGTTGCTGATAAGAAAATTATGCTGATCACAAAATCATGGCAAGAATCACTTGAAAGGAAAAAAGGGGAAAAAAAAATAAGACATAAAAGTAGCCATGGGGCCTAGGATTGATTACTTCTGAAATTTCTGTACTCTTCCTGTGTAAAATTTTTTCTTTTTCACATAGGAGTCAATATTTAGAGCCTCAGGAATAATGTCTCTGAAAGCAGGCTGTCAAACTGATGGATACAGAAACATGTTCTTGTATGGACAACACCAGTTTTCCAAGTTACAGGTTGGGACTCCATGAGTCTGAAATAAATTTAGTGGCTTATGACAAGCATTAACAGGACAATATTAGAGGTGCTTTGGAAGTAAAGGTTTCTCTGGATAAAATACCTGCTAGAACCATACACACACACACACAGATGACGGTAGGTGACACTGTTTTCTGTAACTCTTTGGAAGAGGTGGGTGGCTGCCATGAGGAAAATCTTCGAAGGGAAAGACTAACAGGAAAGCCAATTATTACCTGAGAATTTTTCTTTCTTGATAAAGTGTATTTATTTTCTTTAATAGGAGACCTGCCTAAAAAAGTGGCCATCAGAATCTTCATTCTAAAAAGTCGTTCTTCAACAAGACCGTATGATTCACTACTAAAGACTGCAGAAAAGCCACAGAGGGAAAAGGATGTTCAACTTGGTTGCAAGTGCAAAGTCAAGCTTTCATTAAATGTGGGGGATTGTTTTTTTTTTTAAGAGAGAGAGAGAATGCTCGAGAGAGCCAGTGGGGGGGGGGTGGGGCAGAGCAAGAGGGAAAATCTTGAGTAGGCTCCAAGCTCAGCGAGGAGTCTGATGTTGGGCTCTATCTCACAACCCTAAGATCATGACCTGAGCCGAAATCAGGAGTTGGATGCTTAACCGACTGAGCCACCCAGGCACCTCTAGATGTGGTTTAACGGATACATATCTACTTGTATCCAAAAAAGCACCTGATAAATTAGGATTAGATTAGATAATCATGGATAGGGGGTGCTGCTCTGGACTATGCCTTCATCACACACTTCTGTTTATCACCCATTTAGTATGTCCACAACTAATGAAAAAAAGTCCATGTAAACCATTATTATCTCATTCATTCATCCAACAAGTATTTATAGCACATCTGTCCTCTGCCAAGTCTGTTTATACACTGAAGATATAGCAATAAAGAAAACAGAATTTCTTCCCTCCTGATAATTATATTCTAGCAGGAATACAGTGAGATAAACAAAAATATGTTAATATGGTGAGTGGTGATGAATGCCTAGACACCAAATCGGACAGGTGAAAAGGGAAAGGAGAATGGGGAAACAAGAAGGGGTCATGAACAGGGTGGTCATGGGAGGTCTTTCTTATGATGTTATGATTTGAGAAGAGACCTACGTGAAGGAAGGGAAGGGCCAAGAGGATGACAGAGAGAAAGGGCACTCCTGACAGAAGGAAGAACAAATAGAGAGAGGGTGATGAGGCAGGGCCATGGGTGGCAGAGCAGAGCGGCAAAACTGGACGGGACAGATTGACGTGGGGGCAAGTGATAGGTCACATGTGCAGAAGGATGGGGGAAGAGCAAGGAGCAGGCAGCTGGGGCACCAAAAGCCACTTTAAGTACTTGGCTTTTACTCTCAATCAGATAAGAAGCTACCAGAGATTCAAGCAGAGGACAGGAGTTGACAGACATACAGAAGAATCACTTCAAGTGGAGAACGACTGTAAAAGAGCAAAGGAGGGGAGGGAGAGCATGAGAAACTGCTGCAGAATTCAGAGGCGAGGCACTGCTGTGGAGGCGGGCAGGAAGCATGGCCGACTCAGCCGCACGGCTTTCACCTGAGGCACAGTGGCCCTGGGTTGCTGTCTTTATCATCTGAAGCTTTTCTTCTCTCTCAAACTGGAGTATTACATCTGGAGTGAAGGGTTGATGCCCTGTCAAAAGGCAAGGACAAACATTTAGAATTACTAATACTTATAAACTACTAAAAATGTGGTTCTCGCCATATCATCTGTAGGACATCAAAATTAGTGATTTCCAAACTGTTAATTATGACCCATCAGAAGACTACGTCTGATGCAAAAATCCAGGATATGTAGGCATTCAGTGTAAATTACTGGGAAAAAAGGTCTGTTTTCTTCAGACTCTTTCCACCATTTCTCACACGATTTTCAGCAACAGGATGTAGTTTTTGCTGCAATGTGCAGTTATTGCCAAAGGCTCTGATTATTGTATTTTATTTTTTTAAGATTTTTTATTTATTTATTTGACAGAGAGAGAGCGAGAGCCGGAACACAAATAGGGTAGTGGGAGAGGGAGAAGCAGGCTTCCCGCGGAGCAGGGAGCCTGATGCGGGGCTCAATCCCAGGACCCTGGGATCATGACCTGAGCCGAAGGCAGATGCTTAATGACTGAGCCACCCAGGCGCC